TCATATTAATACTCGTAATACAAAGCTTTATTTTGGATTTTTTTCTGATGATCTACAAGGTGCAACAACAATTTCACTCAATCAATGGATACATACAGCATTTGTTTTTGATGCAACAACAAAACAACAAACTATCTGTTTAAAGGGAGTTCAAGATGGACAGGCTAGTGCTTCCAGTGCACTACTAATGTCATCGGGTAATTTTACAATTGGTATGAATGAACAAGTGAATACTCCGAATAACTATTATCAAGTGAGATAAAAATATTTTTGATTTAGAGCAAAGAAAGAACTGTCTCATAGAAAAATGAATCTTTGAGTGCATAACGTTGGAAGATAACTGAATAATAATATATTGTTATCTAGGGTTATATCGATCATTTATCAATCAATCGACGAGCAAAATCATCTTGTGAAATACTTGAAATAGCAACATTAGCTGCTCATTTTGAATTTGATAGTGCATCATCATATACTGATTCTGGACCTAATGCAGTAGCAATTACTTCTTCAACTACTTCGATTATCTCTGGTTATAAGAATGAAGCTATATTATTCTCTGGTTCATCAACTTCTTATTTCCAAGCTTGGGGTTTTACTTCACTTGGTATCAGTAATCAAGCATTTTCCATTATATTTTGGATTAAACCTCAAACATTGTCAGGTACACTTGTTCATTTATCATCATCTCCATCAGGCAATGGATCTACATGTTTTTCATTATTGGGTTTTGCTTCAAATGGAGCAATCATTGCACAAGTCTTAACAAATAATGGCACAATTGGTTGACTGTTAGTATATATAAGACGAACATGTCCAAAGAGTAAAGGTAACTGTGGAAATTGAAATGTACGTGGACAAAGCTGATGAAGAACTGCATTCAACACTTCATGGGATGCAGACAAAACTTGAGTATCACACAGATCTTGATTGAAGCCATTTGCTCTTGTAAAACAAATCATAATTTGTAAACATTTGTGATGGAGAACGAGAATTTGTGACATGTTCAGTATTGATTCAAAGAATGCAAGATGTCGACCATTTTTACAACTTTCAAATTCATTAATGTATTGTCCATCTCCACATGAAAATTCTCCTTGACCAACTCGACATGATTGTTCTTCACATCGAAATGATGGATCTTGATGACAAAAATTTTTATTCGTTTGTATAGCAATTTCATCTGAACGATCAAGACAATCAGGATTAAGAGGATCATCTTGAAATAGACTTTTTGGAATACATTGTCCTTGATGACAACGATATTCATCTTTATCATTACATTCATTCATTTCTAAAATGTAACAAAAAGCTTCATCAAGAGGTTCTTCATCAATACAATCAATATTTCCATCACATATTTCACGCCAATCGAGACACATTGGTAAAGTATCTCGAGTACAAGTCAAATGTTCATAACATGTTTTTAAAAAACTCATAAGTTCTTTTTCAAATAATTGATATTCATTTTTTTGTTGAAATGTTATTTTAACAATATCTCCAATCGACATAATTAAATCCTATATCAAAACTATATTCACAAAAAGTTCCAAACCATGGTGGAGTACAATTATAAAATATATCAGATCCTTTTGATATTAATTGACTAGTATCATTATCAAGATAAATTTGATAACGTTCAATAAGATCGATTGGTGTTGACCATGAGAGTAATTGTTGAATAGTAGTATTCAATGATTGTAATTCTTCAAATGTAAACTTTTTTCCTTGTATATTATTCAAACTAAGTATCGGAGAAAGATCATTTTTATCTCTTGGACGTTGACAGTAAACAATTGTTTGACGAGGTTGATTTAATGTATCGTCATAGATTACGATATTGTCAAGTACTAAATAATGTAAACAATCAAATTGCAAAGGAAATATTGATGATGAATTTCTTAATTTCCAATCGGTGTCATAAAGATTTAACTGACAATTAATCAACATCAAAAATAGTAAGATACCAAATAGTTCTACTAGGAGTAACATCTTTCAAATGAAAACAAAGTAAAAAGAATGATTAACTAAAACTATTTCTATTTTTTTGTTTGGCTGTTTGTAGAACGTGATCATCATTATTTTATATATTTTGTTCATGTACGTGATAGTTTCTCTCTTATTTGCTATTATAACAAATATTAATCATGCTAAATTATATTATCCGATACATCACGGTATCTGATGTCTAAGTTAACCGATCAAAAATTATACACCAAGTGAGTTGTATGGAAAAAACACAGGGTATGTGAGCCTGGATGTGGATTGAGGTCTTCTCTTTACCCATACCAACATTCATATCCGCCCACACCCTACCCTAAAAAAAGATGTAAGTCTTCACTTTGCTCGTATTTCTCAAATATCTCAACGGATGCCAGAAAATATTTAAAATAGAATAAAAATGTAGAGCATTTGACATTCTGTCCGATTGCATAAGACGCAATATTTTTCATACTATGAAATCTTAAAAACCGGTGACCTTTTGAAAATTATACTAAACAGTATTTTTCCTATTTTCGCATCAATTTCATACAGACATATTTTCACTATAACTTCTCTTCAATAAGATATATCAAGCTGAAAATTTTATAGTGAATGTATCCCACTTAACTCTGATAGCAACCTGGATTTCATTGAAGTTGGAGAATTTTTCCAAAAACGGCGGTGTCCTTTTTTGTCCAGTTAAAATCAGGACCTGGTCCTCTACTGTTGGGCATTGATAAGTCTTTCGAAATCGGCAAAAAAATTTCGCGGTTAGGTTCTTATGCTTCTCCACCGACCTGGATCAATACCCTTGACTCAAAGAATAAGAACTTAAAAACTATATGTTCCGGTATCAATAAACACATTGTTCTGTGATAGAATATTTTTCCTTAGAATAAATAAATTTTAACAATTCTGACTTTGATAAGAAACTACCATAAACTTCTGTACGGGATACAGATAAGTTCAAACGAAATTTTAATTCAGTTGTAATGAGTTCTATTGACATACGATTTTGTTTATTCTCGTATAAATGTTTCATGATCGAATGAAAATATATATAAGCAAGAATGGAGGAAAAAACAATTTATCTTTCAAACTGACCAACAAGACAAAAATCTAAACTTCTTTCGAGTTATAAAATTTTCCAGAACATATCAACAAAAAAATGAAATAGAAATTGACTGAAATCCAAAAAGCCAAAAAATTCCAGAAAAACTTTAAAATTCAAAATTTTTCTGGAAAATTCGAAAGATATGTGACAACTCTGTACCCTATACATAGTTTAATAAAAAGACGTAAGACTTTTTTCAAATAAGGTATCACAGTTGACATGAAGATTTAGTTGAGTTTGAAATGCGCAAATTAATTTTAAAAAAATTCCATTAGAAAAAAATGTATAATAAAAATAAAACTTTTTATTTAAAATAAAGTTGAACTAATTGATTAAAATAATAGTTCACAAGATAAAAGCACATTAAACACCATAATTAACAAATTGTAATATTTCCTCTAAATTTTCTGTTTTTATTGTATTATCAAAAGATAGGGTTCAAAATTCACTAAGAATGATTATATATCATATATCATCAAGTATAGTATTTAAGAAATAAATTTTACTTTCAATTTCATTACTGCTTACAACTATTCATTATGTTCTAATATCATAATTATTAAACATATACAAGAGTGCAATGCATTCTTGTTTCAAAAACCATCCACATTAACCTTCTGTCTAGTAAAAAATTAAATTAATTCATAGAATTAACCAACTTCATCTATTTTATAGTTTCATATGTTGCTTAATTTAAACAGACGATTAATAATATTTCTTTTGGAATAATTTTTGCCGTTGTTGGATATATCATTTTATTACTGTATTAGTAGTCAAATTACATTGACTGAGTATAATATGGCAGATGAAAAATTTAGTTTAATGATTTATAATTATTCTCAAATGTTTACATATATTTCTAATTGAATTCTTTCGCTTACATTTATAATCAGATATTTTATTTTAGAAATTTTTTCGTTGAGAAAAATTTGCTTTGAAGTATTATTTTTATGATTAATAGTAGCTATAAAGAAAAAAAGAGGAAGAACATTTATTGAAGCTTTATCTACGAATACTGATGATGTTGTTAATAATAATGTACTAGTTGAGCACGTAACTAGAGACTGTACAAAGTAGTTAGTGAATAAATGAAGAAAGAGAAGCCCGCGTGGCCTAATGGATTAAGGCATCGGACTCCTAAGTTTATTATGACAAGAGTCATCCGAAGATTCCGGGTTCGAGTCCCGGCGTGGGTATTCAAAAATTTTCTTTTATTTGTTTTTTTACTGTTGTCTATGATGAACATTAATAGAAGAAAACTTTTGAGAAAAAGATATACACACTCGAAGAGTTTCAATCAATGTCAAAGAAAATTATTCCATAATTTACCTATTTTCACGCATGGTCTCATAGATTAATAAACCAAAAAGAAATATTTTTTAAAGTAATCGATATTCACGAACTGTCACATAAATAGAATAAAAAATAATTTTTACATTTTTAATACAATAAATAATTATTTGTTTTTCTTTTAATCCCAACTGAATATACACGAGAGATCATAGGACATAGATTAACACAAATAATTGCATCAGTTGATTGACTCGATTTAAAATAAGTCTTATATATATACTAAATAAATATTTTTAGATATAAAACTTTTTGATATTTATTAAGTCAAAATTTAAAGTTTATTTACAATAAAACATAAAATCAATAAATATTTACCCATCAATCAATATACGTTGTTTTGATGCTTGATGTAATTGAATGAAGTCTAAGATTTCCTATGCTTTGATTCAAATGATGATATTGTTAATAATATAGATGAATGAAATAATGTATGTTTTAAGAAAATTTACATAAGGAATTGGTTTATGTGAAATTTTAAGTTTTTCTTCATCTGTTTTTTCCATTTGAAGCAGTTGGACATAACGATGGTGGTAGTAGCTATTTTAATGAAAATTTAACTTTAATTGAACTAAATCAATTTTTATAAATATTGTTCATTTCTTCTGACTATCATCAGAAACCAAAATTATCATAAACAATAAGTCCTTTTTTTTTTCAATCATCAAACGTTCGGAGAGTAGAGCAAAAAGCAATATATACTTTGTTACTCATCATTAATTGAAAAGATGGCGTTAGAATTAAAATTAAGATTTTTAAATAAATTTTCTTTTTCTTTTTAAATAAATACTATATTAAATCGAGTTTATTTTCATATGAATTAATCAAAATGTCAATAATATTCAAATAAATTAATTGCTTGAAAATTAAATCCAATCATTTAATTATTTCAATATTGTTTATTTATTTATAAAAATGACGAGTCTAAATGAAGTAATACAAAAAACAAACATAGCAGTTAATACTATTGTAAAAAAAAATCCTTCAACGTAAACATTTTTACTTTAAACACACTTATCACAGCGCCCTGAATGTGTACGCGTATAATTTACACCAATCAATGTGAAGTATGTTTAAAGTAAAAATGTACCGATATGAACCTTTGAAAACATCCATATTTTTGACAATTATCATGACAAAGCGTCTATATTTTAAAAACTTTATATCTCAGAGAGACTTAATGAAAAAATTCTGAAATTTCTTTTTTCTACAAGCTAGTCTAATCGATGTCTTTATATAGGTAAAGTTTCAGGTTGAAATTCAAAAGTATGATTTCACTTGAAAACTAGGACTTTACAGAAAAAATTCACTAAAGTTTCAATATCTTAGTAATAAATGTATATTTTCTTCAATTATGGATGTACTGGTTTGTTTTTTAATAAAAATATTTTCTATTTTACGAAAATCTCTTAATGTATATATAGACATAGATACTAAAAAAAAACAAGAAAATTGCAGAAATTATTTTTAAAAAAGTCGATTTTCAAAGAGATTTTCTAATATGTCGAACAACATAGATTGAAATTTTACAATCAAAGAAAGAAGTAAGAGTAAAAGAAACAGTGTAGGATTACGGTACTAATATGTGCTGTTTCAGCATTTGTCTATAACTATTTCAATTCATGAGAATTATCATTAGTTTATCCGGTTTGACTGTTGTCCTATATTTTTCTCCCTTCGTCGTGTAAAAAAAAATAATAATATCGATATTTGACGAAAAAGAATAGCAATTTAATCATATCGTTAATGATATTTTATCAACTTCAAAATATATTTCATTTCAAAAGAAAAAAAACTCTATACTAAATTATCTACTAGTTTATGCGAAAAGGACTTCACTTTTTTAGTTTAGCAAGATTATTTTATTTGTCTTCCTATTCCGATTGCTGGTATTGTTGTTGTTGTTACATTACTTGCCATTTTTTTTCTTTTGTATTATCTTTCATAAAACTCGAATTTGTGTTTTGGTATAATCATAATAATAGAACTTATTTTTGTGAGAAATATAACTCAAACATCTTGAAAAAAACACACAAAATACTAATTTTACAAAAAAAAAACCAAGAGTAGATGTATAAAAAAAAAAAAGAAATGTGCTGCTTGGCAAGGAATGCTTGTATATAATCTAGTCACGGGTATATACACCCATAAATGGAAACACAAGAAAAATGTCTTTTGACGTAAAAACTAATATATTTATATACAAGCTAATATCTGTTCATCGATTTTGTTTTCGAGTGAAGCATAATCCATGTTGACATGCTTCACAATGTTCTTTAAGATGTGGTGCCGACATTTTTCCTTTTCTTTGAGTAGAATCATGAGGAAATTGACGAGATCGTGTTGTATCGTTTTGTACTAATTCTTTATTGTCGAAATTGACACTGTTCATCATATCAGGAAAATAACTTTGAAAAATTATCATAGCTAAATTTTTCATTACTCGACAAACTTCATCTACAAATATCAAAAAAAACAAAAAATTTTTGCAAGATAATATAATAAAACTGAAAGACATACCAGTATACCAAAGAGCATGAGCATATGCACCACATTGTAGACAATCTTGTCCATAAATTTTAAGTACAATAAATCCAATAGATGGTAAACTAATTAAAAATGAAATTCGACCTCGCATTGATGTCCATATACGTTGACAAAATCTATCTGAACAATTAAATCGTACTTTAACATTATCAAGTGTAAGACATAGAAAATTTAAATTCATATGTGGTACATTGACGAATTCTTCTTCAGAAAAAAGTTTATAATGAACATTGTAATATAATGATAATGGCATTGAAATAAGTCGAGCAAATTCACCATGAAATACTACTTGTGTATCTAAACAAAAATCCTTTTTCGTATCATTCGGGATATTGTTTGCAAGTTCAACTGAAAAAAACAACAACAAAACAACATTTTGTATTATGACATAACAAATTTTTCCCACTTACGATGTTTTTTAATAAGTTCAAGTTTTGATTCATCTTGAATTTCAATTTCGGAAAAACCTTCATCAAGATTAGGACCAAAAGATTTTATTGATAATTGATCTTCATTATCATTGACTTTTATTATAGAAATATGTTCAAGTTGTTGTTCAATTCCTTCAGTACCTGAATCATCATTATCATCTATTATATTTTTCCGTTCATAAAATAAATATTGTTTATCTTGACCATTATTAAACATTGATTCAATTGTATGTTGATCACTCTTGTATTTATATATTGTTTCAGTCATAATAACTTTTATTATTTTAGATGAAATTGAATGCGTGTATATATGTCTTTGTTCGTTGACAATCTGAAAGTGAATGTGAATGCTTATTGCAATGACTTATATAGGGAGAACACGGTATGATGAGTAATGCCGTTAATAAGTATTTCCATCCGACGGACTCGCGTAAGGAAGGAAAGAAGAAGAAAAAACCTACTGTATATGCAACGAAAAGAGGTACGCATAGATCAATAAGACAATAATGGATGTATTATTCATAGCAAATTAGAAATATATGGGCTAGTAATAGAAATTTTTTAATTTAATTTTGTCATGAACAAAAAAATTTAAATGTTTATGTTTGAAAAAGTGTGTAAAGAATCGAAGAAAAAGTCGAAGTCATTCGGTATAAATCCATATAAGAGAATAATATAATTTTCTTCTTCGTATTGTTGCTTTTTTTTTCTTTGAGAAATCATTCAGTTAGATATTCGTGCTAGAATCTTCTAATGACGTGGCTGAATGATGCAATAACAGAGAAAAACAATATTTTTTTCTGTCTTCTTTTGATTATATGTATGTAAAATAAAAGTTCTTATATACAAATGTAGGCGAGAGAAAGAGAAAGAGTGATATTTCTTTTCTTTTCATTTTTCCTCAACAATCAGATAAGTACATTGTAGATATCAATGAGTCCGTTTTTTATTTGACTCCATCTATTAACTGGGAAATTTTGAAATGATGCAATAATTCATCTAACTGACTCATCTTTATAATAAACAACGAAAAAAAATTAGGTTGCATGAAGTGAACAAAAACAAAACAAAACACGTGGACCAAAGTCCATTACTGTCGATGGAATGCCTTTAAGCTCGCGTTTACAATGTAGCGAACTTTGATTCACTCCACAGAACCGAGAACATACATAAATGAAACTGATATCAATTAGACTTTTTTGTTTTTTAAATTTTTATTTATTTGCCGTAAATGGTAACTAGATTTGTATCAGTAGTAAATAGAACTAGATAAAATAGTTAAATAAAAAGTTGCGGTTGGATTTTTCCTTCTCTTTCTTTGCGTTCGTGTTATACCACGTGGCTATGCATACCATGTAGATGTCAAGCCAGCTGAAAATTTATATCAATGACTCACTGACAAAAAAAAAAACGTAGAACGCAAAAAAGGAAAGTAGAAATGGTATTTTTTTTTGATTAAAAAAAATATATGATAAAACTTTATACAAATTTCACAATGAATAAATCAGAAATAGAAATATATATCAATCTACATTAATAATCAGAAATACATGTTGAATATGATTTCCTAGTCGAATTTTTTTAAGCATCAACTATAACAGATTCAAAAATTACAATAATCAAGAACAAAATAATTAGTTCAATTTATATGTAAATCATTTATTTATTTCAAGTATTTCAAGCTGAAATATCGATCTACCATATATTGACATTTTTTAGATATCCAAATTATTGTCATTTATATGAACTGAAAGCACAAAATTATAATAGATGAATTTTCAGTAAAACAAAAATTCAATTGAGATTTATTTCTAGCGCCACATAGGATACATAGTAAAAGTTTGGCCAAAAAATGCTTCTATCAAACTGATTAATCATGCGTGCATCTTTAACTTGTATGAATAACTTGGAAAGAGAAATAAAAGATAAATCATCGATCATATCTATTAAAAATGACATCAATTGGAAATTTCCAAGGAAATACAATCAGATGCTTAAGCGAGAGAGTAGTAATTTCCAAATTTACTCATAGTTATAGGTTAAGATAGGATGTGGGTGTGAGTTCAGTTCTGATTTTCACATACAACAACACTTACGCCTACATTCACATCCTAATCGATTATTATTGAAATTAATCATAATAATCGATGAAATTTCGATTTTAACCCTAATTTTTGTACATGAAAAGTTTGAGTATTAAAAAATTGGAATGAGCATGTCAGAATCTGGAAAATTCTGGAATTTCTTTTTTGAAATTCAGAAAAAAACTGATAAATTTTTTATGGATTAGCTTTAATTGGTCAAAGTACGATTTTTTTTTCAATCCGATTATCAATAACTTTATCCTTTATCTATGCAAAATAACTTTCAATGAAACGAAAGTTTGATATCAATAAACACGTTGTTCTGTGCTACAATATTTTTCATTAAAATAAAATAAGTGTCAACATTTCTGACTTTGATAAGAACTAATTATAAACTTCTGTACGAAATACAGATGAGTTCAAATGAAATTTTAATTCAGTTGCAATGAGTTCTATTGCCATGCGATTTTGTTTATCATCGTATAAAATGTTTTATGATCGAATGAAGGAAAAACTATTTTTGTTTTTTGGACTGATCAACAAGATGAAAATCTAAACGCAGAAAAATCCGAAAGACTTAGTAACTCTATATACTATGTATAGTTTGACAAAAAAAGAAGTAGAACTTTTTCCAAATAAGACATGTTACAGTTAACATAAAAATTCAGTTAAGTTTTTGGAATATGATTTAAACAATAATTCACAAAATAAAAGCATATCAAACATCCTAAGTAACAAATTTTAATGTTTTTTCTCTCGATATTTTTCTTTTATTGTGTTATGAATATTTTTATTAATTGAATAGAAATATCAATTTGTGAAAAAAATCGATTCGAATAATGTCAATAAATTATCAATAGAGATATTCCAATTAATAATAAATAAATAAATAAACAGAGAGTAAATCGAAGAGAAAATAATTGATATATAAGCTAAATTGAAGAGCATATTTGTTCACAGAAGTGAATACATTATCATACAACATTATAGTTACAAAAAGAGAAAACGAAGAACATTTAAAGTTTGTCATTCTAATATAGTTGGACAGAGCGCCGATTACTCTATTAAACTTTATAGTTTTCATTTTATTTATTATAAAACTTGTCTAAAGATGTGATGCATTTCGAAAAGCACCAAACAAAGATTCTTTTTTAATCAATAATTTTCAGGTCATTTCTCAGGTAGGTTTTTTTCGATGGCTACTTTTTTTACTGGGATATTGAAACGTTTGATTTTTATATAGAATAATAAATCGTTGTTTTCTCTACCGAACTATGTATTTTGTATGGAGCTTATGTATTATCTTTAGTATAAATTTGAGCGACTTTTCTGAGAAATGTGTTCTTGAATATTTTTCATATATGAATTTGACTTTTCTTCAAACAAATTTTGGTTGTTTAAGCGGTAAACTTTTTTTCTTTGATATATAGCTGAAATAGAGCATTGATTCCTCTATTGATTTATATAGTTTTCATTAGATTTACATTTGATCTTACGGATGAATTTTTTGTTAAAAGTGTCATAAACTTGATTTTTCATAAGTACAAAAGTGCACCGAATTTTAATAGTAAAGATTATTGTTTTCACTCAATTTCGAATTCGTTTTGTTTAATATTTTTTGCACGAGGAAGTGTGATAGATCTCTTCCATCTAAAGCAATTTTCATTATTGTTGAGCTCATTGTTGCTGACATATGAACGTGCAAAAGTTTCGTTTCAACACTTCTCGGAATTTATCAGATTTTTGAGAAAGATGCAAAATAAATAAAATAAAAACTATATAGTCCAATAGAGTAAGTGAAGCTCTATCCGACTATATCAAAATAAAAAAATATCCGAGAGTTTGTATAAATATAGCAAACTGAACAAAATTGTCAAAAATAACGTGATGATACTGTATATAGAAAAAATCTGACTATAATCAATTGTACATGTACCTCGTGTTTTCGACGGGTGCTCACAATTCATTGGACAGGTTCACATTTTTTTTCGCTGGATGCTTTTCAGATTATCTTCGGAAGAACTAGAAGATCAAAATGAAAATCCAAGACCACTTTCAGGAAAGTGGTATAAACTTCATGAAATCACCTATATATCACGTAAACGAGCAAGTTGTTATCGTTCGTTCATTTTCCCTTTTGATTTTCATAATGTTATACGATCAATAGAATAGATGATTCTTTAAATAATATTAATTAAATATTTTAATGAATCATAAAAAAAATCTGATTTTCCTCGTTCTAATTATGAAACAAAATGTTCTAAGTCATCGTTTCAAAAATCGGAATTATTTTCTCAAGAATAAAATTTCATTTTCATGCTTATAATATTAAAAAAAAATAAATAAAATCAATTGAATAAAAATATTGTCACACTAAAGTGCATCTAAGCAAATTATAATAATGATAAAAGGTGCTTATACAATAAAATTTCACACAATAAAAATAAAATTCAGTCATATACTTGATGAAATAAATCTAAAAGTTTAAAATTTGACAAATCTTTGAACTCGAGAATTTCCTGCATCAGCAACATAAAGATTCATTGCTGAATCGAATGCAACACTTTCTGGTGCATTCAATTGTGTAGCACTATTACCAGATTGACCAGTACCTGCAATAGTAATTCCAGTTTGACTGTTAGCACAAAACAATTGTATTCGACTATTACTAGTATCAGCAACATATATATTCAGATAAGTATCAATTTTAACACCCATAGGATAATTGAGTAAAATAGGACTTTGACCTGATACACCTGGCACTCCAGCTACAAAATAGCCTGATGATGCACCAGGTGTCCAACGCATCACTGTATGTCCATAATAATTTGTTATAAACAAATCATTACTTACAGATGGCAAATAATGAATACCCCATGGATAATATAATGTTGTATTTGAATTACCAGCTCCATTATTACCAGCCATAAGAACTCCATTAGTTCCTGACGTTGAACTTGTTGAATAACGCATAATACGATGATTATTATAATCAGTAACATATATGTATGTACCATTTGAATCACCAGTCATATGTCGAAGACCATTAAATTGTGATAATCCAGATCCACCTGATAGAGTTATTCCAGCAATAGTGGTTCCAGTTGATGATCCACTAGCAAATTTTTGTACTCTATAATTATAATAATCAGTTACATATATATTTCCACTTGGATCAACATAA